CTAATACTGCCTTGTGTTACCTTTGATTCATTTAACATACCATACAAATAGAAGCAGGGAACTTGAAATTCCGTGGTTCCACGTCAACAATTCGGTAAGTGGTTAATTCAAAAAATAATTATGAGAATGTATTTTTTCTGAAACAAAAAGCAAACAAGAATATACTTTGCTGAGCAATAATGAGCGATATTTGAAAAGTATATTGTCCTCAAAAATACTGGACATGGAAACTCGTGATAATCCCAATTTAGAAGGTACTAGTCCAAATTCCTCCAAGCTCCAGATTTAATACACTGAGTATGCTCACTAGTCCCAAGATGCTTTTTGGAAAACTATGACTAGAGAGGTAATAGAAGAGAAGGGTTTTAAACTAAAGAGTCTATTAAGACTGATACTACACCAATGCCTGTCCAGGAAGATCCTCCAGGCTTAAACAGCCCAGAGTCAGGGATCCTTGGTGAGAGTTCAGACTTTGCTCTTGATTCACAACAACAGGTATCTTGCAGATCCAGGTCAACTCACAAACAAAGCAAGTGAAAAAAACAGAAAAGGCCTGAGCTGTACTGACACATCATTTCCTACCAGGAGTTCTGCCACAGAACATCAGAACCAATGAAAGCCTGCAACAAGGCCCTGCTACTGTGAACCAGTACTGACCAGGCTTCACAGCCCGGTAAGTAACAAAGGGCTGGGCCTCAGTTTTCTCATCCACAACACTAAAAAGTGGAAATAACTATTACTACTTTCCAATACATAAACACAGAAAACATTTTTTTTTTTTGCAACAATGTGCCTTCAACATTTACAGCACAAAGATTTGAGTTCCTCTCAAGAGACACCTGGGCAACTGTAGAAGTCAGACCCTTGACAGAAACGAGGTTCTATTAAATCGAAGCCAAAAAAGCATAACAGCATAACAGTACTTCTCTCAAAGATGAGGTAATAAAAGTGTAAATAAAACCAGACAGCTCTATAATCTGCAAAAAATTGTGCATGTATAACACAAATTGTCAAGTCTCTTAAGCTCAAGTCAACATATATTTGAACACCCATGTATATAATAGTGCATTATCAAAGATATTAAGACTGGCAAACTATGTCACAGAGAAAGACTTCCAAAAGTGCTATAAAAAAAGAAGGCTTCCATTAAAGAGACACAGGAAATGTCTTATCGAGAAAGCAGCACTTGAGTGGACACAGAGGGGCAGGTAGAATTTTAACTAGCTGTAGTTTTCCACCCAGAGGGCATTTCAGGCAGAACACAAGTAATGGCGCTGAAGCTGGAAAGCCAGAGGCAAAGATCATGAGTCCAGTTTGGGACACTGGATTCATAGCAAAGGACAGCTCTATAATTTGGGGTGAAATCATGAAGGCCTTGGTCTTCAGAACATGGGTATCAGTTACATGAACAATCTTCTTCTTCTTTTTTTTTTAAGAGACATGAGGTCTCAACCTTGCCCAGGCTAGAGTGCAGTGGTGCAATCATAGCTCACTGCAGCCTCCAACTCCTGGGCTTAAGCAAATGATTCTCCAACCTCAGCCTCTCAAATAGCTGCGATTAGAGGTGTGAGCCACCACACCTGGCTGGCATGAACAATCTTGAAGGACAGAGATAATCAAAATATCCAGTTCTTATATTCTGGCTTAAAGAGAAAAAGCTCTCTTCTGCCTAAATTTAAGTATATTTCAACATTTAAGAAAGAAGATACTAATTCCACTAATATTATTCTAGTATGACTAATGATGATAATCTCCATTAAGTTACAGAAGAGTTAAAACACCATCCAGAAAGTAAATTAAGCTATTTATTAGTCTTTTATTAATATCTAATATATTCTAATCATAGTTACTAAAATAATCAAATCTTAGAAATAAATAATGGATATTTTAAAATTTTAGGACAATAGTAACCCATTTCTCAACCATATAATTTATAAACTCTTGTCTACTAATTTTCAAATATAACATTGCTAAAAAAGAGAAGTTACATCACTAAGCTGCCCCAAGGCTTCCTCAATTACAGGAAGAAACTCCACTTGCTAACAAAAAGTGTGAGCCAGCAAACCGTAGGCAACAGTTGCACATTTCTAAGCATAAGATTAAAGCTGGGAAAACAGTAACAAATTTTAAACTCCCTTTCAAACATTTCTGAACTGAAAAATTTAATTTTAAAGAGTTATTTTTAAACCACAGCTTTCTATTAACAGAAACCAAAGATTCATCCAGAAAGTTTACACTTGCTCATTGTTCAGGAAAGAGAAGGAAAGTAAGGCAAAGCATTATTTTAGCCCAAGAAGCAGCACTGTCTTATCTTTTTAAAATTACTTTTTACAAGTTTATAAACAGTAAACTCAAGGTGTTGAAATATTATATTTTTATATATAAAGAAATCCCTTGATATGAGACATTAGTGAAGGAAATACAGCAGAAAAAAAACACTATGCTAAAAATCAGCAGGGTGAGATTTAGTACCAGTTTGGCCACTATCTGTGTTACGTTTTAAAATCACTGACATTCTCTGGGCCTCCACAGCCCCATCTCTAAACTGACAGGGCTGAATCACATCATCTCTAAAAATGCCACATCATAAAACATAATTTTAAATAATAGAGATTTGTAGCTGCTGTTCTACACTCAGGGAAGCAGCAGGGTGGATTAGAATGAATTTGGCTTTAGAGTAAGGCTAATAAGAGTTCATATCCACGCTCCATCAGAACTAGCTGAGTGGCCTGAAGTATAAGTTTCCTTCACTATTGAAAAGGTTTAATATTTACCATTGCAACGTTAGAAGAATTAGAATGACTATAGTAATGTACCTGGCACTTTGTAGGTATTAAATAAAGGCAGGTGTTACGTCCCTGGTCAGTAATACAAGTTCTAAAGGAAAACGATAACCCACCTGACAATGCAGCTTCCTAGAACTTGGCTGGGAGAAAAACAGGGACTGACTGCCAGTGCTTTCCAAATGGAAAGCAGGTAAAGATAATATTGGAGAGGATTCATGGTTGGAAGTAGGCAGGATAAAAGCAGGTAGTTGAAGATAAGCACAGGCTTTGAGTCCTGCACATAATAACAATGGGAAGGAAAGAAATTGCACAGGATACAGTCCTGGAGGAAAGAAGACATTTTTTCATTGTGACAATTCCTGGAGAAAAAAAAAAGAAAAA